ATATGCACTATATAGGCAGATAAATATAATTTTCAACAAGAAATTATGCTGCACCAAATATATTATGTTTGTTCCATACACTTGTATTGATTACATAAATGGCAATATGTGCATTTATATGTAGAATGAATAGAATGTCATTGTGATTTGGTTCAAGCTAATTTTTAGTGTATATAAAAGGTGGTCTGATATGGGTTACAGGAAGAAACATGTATGACTAGTCACATTGGTGTAAGAAATTCTCTCCGCTGAAATGCCATATAATGAGATTGAGACAAACCTTTTGTGACAATACTGGCTCCTAGCCCAAGACTATTAGCATTCCATAGCCACAGATATTAATGTGGCTGCGCTTCTGAATGATAAAAGCAGTCAGGCATCCAACACATCCTAAAAAACACATAGGCTTCAGATGTCTCATGCTATAAGGCAGGTAAATCGTTGGCTTACCAAACCTTTGTTCCTGTACAACAGAATCCCTGTGCTAATCAGGAAGGTTCCATTCAATAAACATTCCCTATTTTGGTCATTTCCTCCCACACCAATTATTATAAATTTGTCTATCTTAACTTGCATTTGCCACCTGCTGGTCCAATTTTCTGAATGATCTCATTTGTTCTGAATCTCAGTACATTGCTATTATTATTTATTATTACATAGTTTATTCTGCCTATACTTTTGTATCAACAAAGGAAGCTGCTGATACCTACTGATGTCTGCGAGGAAGTATTTGAGATGCGCTGATTTCCTCTCCTGTAAAATGTAGTGACTGTGTATTTCTGGCGAACACGGCAGCCAATTGGCATGCACGTATAGCAATGTCCCACAATAATTTTTAACTTTTTTTTAAAATCTAGGGGATTTTTGACCAGGAGACTTTCTCTTTTTGAGAAGTGCAGGAGAATCTTTAGCATTCACCTGAAGGGACAGACAGGACCTTGGTTTACCGTCTCATCTTGAAAGACAGCACCTCTGACAATGCGGTGCTCCCCCAACAGTCCCATTGGCAAAAAAAAGTAAAATACTGCAGGTGCTGAAAATTTGAAATAAAAACAAAAGTCACTGGGGAACACTCAGCAGATCAGGCATCTATAGGGAGAGGAAAGTTTCAGGTCGATGAACTTTTGTCAGGATGAAACAGTCGTGGAACTGAGTGACCAAATTATTATTTTTTCATTTATTTTTTGGAGCGATTGTTACCTCCGGAAAAGAGATCTGCCAATTGGGTTCCTACTGCTAGGTAAACAGCGCCAGGTGGAGTAAGGAAACCTATGTAACGTTTCGCCCTCTCTGGGAATCAAACCGAGATTCTATCACTTGTGAACGCTCTAACCACTAAGATACAGGACTCCATAGCGTTAACATTGAGGTTTAACTATACTGTGTATAAGTTCATATGAATTGTGCAGAGGTATTTAAACAGGTTCAGCCTGGAAAGAGTTAAAGTATTGCTGTGTTAAAAGACTTAGTAGACCTCGCTCTTGCCTGACATTTATTTCTCCTCCACACAAACTTGATTTGCAGAATTTCAAGCAATTAGATTCATCTACAGATAAAAGTGAGGCGTTTGCAAAACAGACCAGTTTAAAAATTTGTGGTAGTTTCTTATTATTGTCTTGGGAGTGGGTGTGGGAAGGAGAGCACAGTGCTTTTTGGAAATAGCAAAAGAATAAAAGGAACAAAAGATTAATTAAAACCGGATTCAGGCTCTTTTCTCTCGTTGGAGCTGCCACAAACCATAACTTCAACACGTCAATAGAGGGCAGGGCTGTGAGGGGAATAACATTATTAATACACTAAGGGGGAAAATAATAACTCAAACAACTAATTTGCAATGAAAATTACTTACAAGCTTGATATTTTTAACAGCTACAATTTAACTCCATGTTTATTTATGGTAGGATGGGGTGGGAGGGGGGGGATTTGTGAGATAGACAGACAGAGAGTTCCTTTTCTAGCCTTTTTTTAATGCTTCTCTAATCCAATTATTGCTGTCTGAAATCTGAAACCCAGGCACTAAAAGTTTCAAGCACACTTCCGCCATTTTGTACCAAACTAGAGAGAAGAGGTATATACAGTACAAATATATATGTAATATATATAGGCAAGTTGAAGTCTGCAGCAATCAGTTTGCAAAGTTCAACCTTTCCCAATGCGTTATCAAAATATTATTGAATTCATTTCAATTATAAAGATCCTTTATTTAAAATAATAGAAAAAAATAATAAGAAAAATTTGATTGCAAAAACATCAGAAATTAAGTTTGAGTGAAATACGTAGACGGTACATTTTGTTTAGAAAAAAATTAAACTTTGTAAAGAGGAACAGGCGAGAGCATAATAAATTATGTGCGAAAATAAAACGTTATTTTATTCCATCCCTCCTCCCGATAAGAGTCACAGGTTCTAGCCTGTGGAAGGGGATGTTGTGGGTGTTGGGGGGAGTCGATTTTAAGACTCAGATGAAACAAGAGAGAGAAAAAAACAAAGTGAAATAAAAGCGTCTTTCTCTCCCTCTCTTATCTGCTGAATAACGTTCCAGCAGTTGCGACAAGTCCGGACTGTTAATACCTCTGGGTGATGATGACAACCTTGTCTGAAATCACAGGGAGGGAAAATCGTGGCGTTTTAAAAAAAAGTTAAGAACAAAAAGCTAAACAGCTGAGATGTGGATTTTGATGAATTTGCCAATTAGAAAGAGAGAAAAAAGGTGTATTGATGGATAAGAGGGATTGTTTTAATGTGTAAACAGCCTTTTTTTTGAAAAAAAATCCATATTTATTCAGAAAATACTATAGATTTGGTACAACAAAAAAACGCACACACATTCCGTTGTCTGTATCCAGACACAAACGCTGACACTCGAACAGATATCTTTTTTGAAAAAAAAGGTATCTATTTAGAAAATGTTGTTTTCCCTTACTCCTGGCGCACGGAGACGCCCGGTCACCAGCGGTACGCGGGCACACGGCCGTTACGCCGGCCGGCCGGCGGGATCGCTTCCCGGGGGGCGACCGCTCCCTTCAAAAACAAAGTAAATAAATAAATGGAAGGTCACAACGCGGTCGGCTTAACCCACGAGCGTTCGCGGTGGGGGGGACGCGGCCGCGGGAGTGCGCGGTCCCGACACCGGACGGCGTGACCCGGCGAAGCGCGTCCGAGACGGCGCAACGACGACAACAACGACGACGACGACCACGACAAGACGGCGTTTATACGGAGCGCCTTTCACGACCCGATGAGGCGCTGCGTCAAGTGCCAGCATTATTATTATCATTAATGATATATTATTATTATTATTATATAGTGGGCACTGGATGTGGGAGCAGCCGCAGGGAGTGAGTGAGGGGGGGAGTGAGTGGAGGCGCCACAGAGAGCAGAGAGCTCGGAGTCAAGTGAGGAGTCGCAGCATCCGGGCACTTTCCCTGGGCAATGAGAGCCGCAGCACCGCTCTTCCTCAGGCAAAATCCAAATCAATTCGCCCTCGTTCGTTCGTTCGCGCCGCCGCGAAGTAGTTCCCACACTCCGTCCCTCCCTCCGCGCACGCCACACGCAGACACACGCTTGACCTGCGCGCGCAGACCTGAGGGGCAGGTGGAGAGGGCGGGAGGGAGGGAGAGCGCGAGGAGCGCGTACCAGGCTACGTGGGGCGGTTGGGCACGTGGATGTCCTCTCTCCTACCCCCCCCATCCCCACGGCTTCCGCGCGCACAGCGTGACCTGCGCGCGCAGAACTAATGGGCAGCGAGTGAGCGCGGACGCAGGCTACGTGGTGGGGGGGGAGGGCTGCGTCCGTGCGTACGGAGTCGAGCTGAGTGCTCAGGTGGCTATCGTCGCACGCGCTGCGTCGGTTGACGTTTTGCTCGCGCTCCCTCCCTCCCTCCCCCCCCCCCGGGGGAAGGGGAGCACGAGCAAAGCGCGGGGAGAACCAGTGAGCGAGCGGACTACAGCGTGAAGCCGGCGAGCGACAGACAGACAGACAGACAGCCCCGGGGGGGGGAGGGGAGGGGTGCAGTACAGTACACGCTCTCCACACACACACACACACACGCACACTTGACTTTTTTTTACCTCATACTTTTTTCGGGAGGGGGGGGGGAATTTAAAAAAAATATTATATTCCTCTCAGGCCCCTCCTTCTAACCCCAAAAAACGTTGGAATAAAATCAATTCCGACCGTCGTGTGAGTTTTTCTCCCCCCACCCTCCTTCCTTCATCTTCTTATCCGTCTTCGCACCCCACCCCCCCCCCCCACACACACACACACACACCATCTTCAATCCGATCGGAGGGTTGTCCGGGGGAAGAGAGAGAGAGAGAGAGAGGGGAGGAGGAGGGGAGGGCAGACAGGGCCAAGATCGGGGGTAGGGAGGAGAGAAGTGTGTGTGTGGGCAGAAAGGGCCAAGACCTGGAAATCATAGCTTAATTTAAGCCTTTTTTTGGGGGGGAAAATCGAAAAAAAATCTGTACTTCCCGGGGATCGATCGCGCTCCGCGGGCCCCGGGCCCCGGGCTATGATAGATTTGACGAGAGGGAGAGAGACGGAGGGAATGTTTTTGAAGTTGTTGTTGGTCGGGCAGCTCACCGCCCCCCTCTGGCTCGGCGGCGGCGCAGAGTGATGAGTCCGGTGGATGGGGAGAACTTGTTTTGCGCTCTCTCTCTCTCTCACACACACACACACACACTCTCCTCTCTCTCTCTAGTCTCTCTTTTTTTTATTATTTCTCCTCCCTCTCCATGTATTTATATTTATATACGTGATCTATTTATCTCTTGTGTATATAAATATCGAATAATAAAGCCAGCTGTTTATTTAATGCACATGTTAATCCAGCCATAGGCGCGATGTTTGATGGACTTTCTCTCTCCTGAAATCATTCCGGGCCCTGTTTTTGTTGAATGTATTTTTATTCTCTTTTGGCTGCCTGCGAAAGGAAAGAGGAGAAAAAGAAAAGGGGGGCTGGTGCTGCTGCTGGTGGGGAGGGAGGGAGGGAGGGAGGGGGAGGAGGAGAGATCAGGTCTTTTTTTTGGGGTGGCCCAAAAAAAAAGTGAAGGAAAGTGGCGCGGGAAGTAGAGGAGATGGAGTTACAAACTCTGCAGGAGGCTCTCAAAGTGGAAATCCAGTTTCATCAGGTAACACGGCTCTTTTCTTTCATTTATTATTTGTGCCTTATATTAATTTGAACCACTTCCTTTCTCTCTCTCTCTCTCTCTCGCTCTTCTCCCCTCTCTCTCCCCCCCCCCCCCTCCCAGCCCAGTCAATTATAAATCATGTCTGATCTGATTAGTGACATCCCCCCCCTCACCCCCCAAGTTGAGAATATAACATTCTGAACTTTTTTTTAACAAGAAAATGGGGCTGAAACTTCTCAGTGTTTTATTTCAATTTTAGTGCTGTGTTCTGGAAATGGGATGGTTTTTTTTGTGGGGGGAGCAAGTGGAGAGATGTTGGTTTGTTTCTACGTTTTATAACTAGGGAAAAAAAGTTATGATGTGACAGGAACTCACTGTTTGCTGTTACCTATGCATTTTTATTTTATAAATGTGAACTGGTTGATCCTGTGTAGATTTGTCTGCAATAAGCTGTTCGTCTTCCCTTATCCGTATATCCATCTTCCTGCGTCGCCACTATTTCTCAATTTAAACAGTTATAATGTAGAAAGATAAAATTGACAAACTTTTTTTATATTAATCGTGTTTTCTCTCACAATCAAGGCTAATATTGTGCATTGTATCAGAAAGTAAATTTCTAGAGTTGGTAATGTTAGTCCAGATTTATTGAAGAAAGTGGATACAGTTGGAGTAACACTTGACCTTTGAGAGGCTGAATTGATCAATAAAGCCAGGCCTCATGCAGTATTCACTGAGGCATTGTTTCTCTCATCTCAAGAACATTAACTTTTTCATATTTGTCTCTTATCTAAACAGAAACTTGTGGCCCAGATGAAACAGGATCCACAGGTATGTTATTTGCTTTTATCACCTTGGAGTTTTTAAAAAATATATAAATCATTGTATTTGGGTGGGGTGCAAAGCTATATAAAAATATCATTAAGTCATTTGGCAACAGCCTACAGTTTTTTAAAATTCTTATTTGCAATAGAATATTTCCAGGAAGAATTGTTTAATGTGAAGGCGCGTTACAATTGAGGCCTATTGCAACATCTTAAAACACTTTTGCAGACTCACTGAGACAAAGAGAATGATTTTTTTTGTTAGTCATTTTTTAATGGCTTTTTTGGCTTCCTCCCCCACCAGTATTCATCACATAGTGTTGAATGACTCATTTTCCTAGTGTGGTGTCAGGACTTCTATTAGTACTTTTTTTAAAAAAAGTAATATTACTTTCTTAAATTTTATTTTACAGAATGCAGACTTGAAGAAACAGTTACACGAGTTACAAGCCAAGATAACTGCTCTCAGTGAGAAACAAGTAAGGAGAAAAATGATTTGTGGCTACTCTGTATCAAGATAGTTTTCTGTTTTCTCCAGGGATGAGTTCAACCTAGAGGATTATGAGGAGCTCGCTGAAAGTTTTTAACACAAGTAGAGTTGGCTGATGTTACATTGGAAAATGCAGGAGACATGGCTGATCCAATAACGCTTATTGCACCTGTTACTATGTCTGACTTGAATAAGTTTCTAAAAAAAATGGAATTTCATAGATAAACGAAGTGATGAGCTTGTTTCTCAACTGTTGCAGCTTTTCTTTTGAAGTTTACATCTCCAATTGTTTGTCCCCTCTGAATCTCCCTCTTAGTATTTTTTTAAAAAAACACTGCATATATTTCTTCGTTCTCAGAGTCTTCTTAGTTTTATCTTCTTAGAAATAATTTTGTGAACAACTGAAAAAAGTGGCCGTGCTTCTGCAATTTGTCTAGTTTATTTTTTAGTAGGCATTTTTGTTGATATTCAGTAAACCTTTCCCTTACCCTCTTCTGTATTATTTTTCATAAGGCTCCAAGTCCTCCTTGTTCTGATTTAATTCTTCCTTTTGCTTGCCTGGCTTTGCTTGCCTATCTGAACTGGTGTGATGTGTGTGCTATTTGTGTAGGAGTTGACTCTTTCCTCTTTCTTCTCCCCCTCACCTCCCGCCCCCCCCCCCCAACCTTCCACCCGGTTCGGGTTTTTCTTTGTTTCTGGTTCTTTGTGCATTCAGTTTCATGTTTCTCTCACCCCTGCATTTGTTTCTTTCTCTTCTCTCCCCCTCGCACTCAAATAATATTTGTATAGATGTGCCTACATTTAGAGAGTTCCAAGTTCACATTTTTTTGGTGCTGAATGAATTCTCTTCAGCTGACTGAGAAATAAAAATCAATGCAGGTGATTAAAGGCAGAGAGGCATACATGTGCAAAATTATAGCAGTTTGAACTTCTGTCCCTGTTACTATTGGTGATGCTCTATGTTACTACTGGAACTAATTATTATTGTAATGTTTCAAATTTAATATTTTAGAAGCTTTTCTCTGATTTTGCTCCTGAACCTGTAAAGTCAGCCTTCAATCTTTGTCACGTGATGGTGCTTCACTAACCACGTGCGCCAACCACCACTGTGGAGAAATACACTTGAAGCAACATTTTGATTTTACTTGCTGTTCTCATAGTTTTTTGCTTTTAAAGATGTACAAAAATCTGAGTTTTTAGGGATAAATTTGATTTTGGATACTGTAATTACACAGTGAATGCCAGACTTCAACAATATCTCTGGCCTCTTCCGGAAAAGTGCTTTATGGCAAAGAATGAGTTGGATTTAAATTATTTTTAAAAATTGTTTACGGCCTGTCATAACTTTCAGTATTCACTACCTTGTAGATAATGGTTTGGTAAGATATTGTCTCGACTATACTTCAAATCACTGCCTATTCTTAGTTTGATGTTTTAATTTGTCAAAGTATTAATGGTACTTATTGCTGTATTGAAATTATCGATTGTATTCACCTACAAAAACATGCTGTCCGCAAGATTTATCTTACTCAATCATGCTCGCTATTAACTTTATATTAAATCCTGTGAAGCACTTGGATATTTTTAAAACATGATAAAGCGCACATCAAATGCAGCAACTATTAACAGTGAGTACCTGTATACACTTCTGATGCCATCTACCTATTTCAGGCAAACTATTTTAAACTGTAAAACATTTTCTGTAAATGTGGAAAGTGGGATCTTTAACTGTAACCCTTAGAGCGTGACCCTATGTCCAGAAACCATGACCCTCAAATGCATTTTTTTTATTTTGAACTGAGCTGGAGACTTTTTGTGCAAGATTTGTACAATTTTAAACAGTTTTACTGATCGTGAGTGGTTTGAACCAGGAGTCTTACTAATTAAATCAGATTTTTCTATGGTCCGGATGATCATATCTTATTGACTGAGCAGGGACTGTGTGATGATAAGATTGAAAGAAAATTGTATTCAATCATGCTTGTTACTAACTTTCAGTTTGCAAAAAAAGTGTGGCAGCATCATGGTAGGACATGTAGGTTTATTCCCTCTGCTGCTGAAGTCATGACCTTGAATGTTGTTTATTGAGGGGGCCAAATGGAAGCCATGGGGAATGTGAAGGGAGTTGTGATTTTTGCTAAATGAGTGACAGAGCAAAAGCCTGGATATTACGTTGTCTGTTCTAGATGTGTGGGATGGGGATACCTATGGACTGAGTAGAACATTGAGTAACTTATACCCTCAAAAAAATTGTATGTTGTAAATTTGGAATTCAGTAGTGTAGAAAAATGTACTTTAGAAAAACTGGTTCTACAAATCTACCTAGTATTTCTACAACTAAAGATGGATGTAGAAGTTATGGATGTAGAATAGTGAATCACCATGATGGGCATGTGACATTCCAATATGGTATCCACTTGAAATGTGAAAATTTAGCAGCAGTAGTTTTTCTAAATTTTGCCTTTCAAAGATGCCTTGTATTTTGAAAAGAGTGTTTCAAGCTCTTCAGCACTGAAGTGAAGTAATGGTGGGAGCAATTTGAGATGAAGAATTAAAGAAGTGTTACACAAGGCTTCTGTCTCACAGAGTTAAAGCGCTCCGGGATGCTACATAAATTCAAGTTGTTATTGTTAAAGCACATTGATTTAATGTGCCTTGGGACATCTTCCCAACGTGAAAAGCGCAATACAAATGTAATTTGTTGTGTCATTTATGAACTTAAAATAACACTGACTTGTGGTTGTACTATAGTTTTTCAAGAAATGTTGAGATTTCTCTCATCTATTTGGCGCATATTGTTGCCTATTTAAAGTATTTGCTCACGTTTAATCGTCATGTATTCACCTCCTTTTTAAATTTAAAAGTGGTTTTCATGGCAGAGTTGCATCACAAATCAATTGGGATGTCAGGACTTATAATAAAATAAGTTATAATGCACCAAGTTTTTGGTATGAAAACAACCAACTTTTAAGTGGTGGGATTAAAAAAAATACGCATTTTCACAATTGTGCACTGGCTTATTTCCTGTTTCCCATTGGATGACTATATATTTGGACATTTTGAAGGTATATTGTAGCAAATTTGTTAATCTTTATATTAAAATTTTGACATTGTACAGCTGAAGTAAAGTTAGACAAAGAGTATTAATTCCTTAAATAGCCGGTGGGTCGAAGGAAGTTATAATTAAAGAATTGATGGATACACTACAAACTGGATTGATCAAGTTGTTTAAAATCTGAACTCCAGTTTTACGTATTATCTATATAATCTTTATAAATGTAGTATCTCCCAATTATGAAAAAAATACGCACATACGCACTAACGTTTCATTTATTTACTAGAATTTAATCTGAAGCAGAGTACTGAGAAATAATATTGGAGTTTATAGAAAAATATTAATCTGATTAAGGGGTTGGATGACGTTGAAAGGTGGTAGAAGTGGAGCATTTTACAGCCTCTTTGAACCTGTGGATTTAAGACTATAACACTTAACATTTTTACACTGTAAATTGCATGAAAATAGCTTTTCTTTACAATTGTTTTGCAGACATTAGTGCTGAGTGTCCCCTATGTGATGACATTTGCAATAATGTTTATGATGGTTTTGGTAGAAGTTTGTTGAGGAATAGTTTCCATTCATTGAGCAGGCACTAATGTATTTGAAGAATACTACCCATTTGTGTGGAATATAAAACCAAACATCAGTGAAACGCCTTGTAAATCATATGAGTTGTGTATGTCCTTCATATAATGAATCTCTTACAGGTCCTCCTCTCAAACACCTGGCATTCCTATTGTGCCATTTATATTTGTGATCTTTTAGGTGAGTGATTTTTGCTGTAAATTGTTTCCTATTTCACTAAAATGTGGATGCTCCACTCTCTGTAAACATCATCTTGAACTTTTAGTGTAGGACACCCACTTTGGTAAAAGTTATTAGGTGAAACTCAAACTTCTTGTTTATTGTAATACCATCCAGGGCTTTAATCCATACTAACCTTATAATTTATGTGAAATCTGAATTAGAAGCCTATGATCTTATTCATGAAAGAGAACTATATTGAGGATGGATCAAATGGATCAAGATAGTGGAGAAGCTGGCCAGCAATCTTAATTTACTATGACCCTTTTTGTTATCAGTGTTGCTTGTTTCCTATAACTATATACAAAATTTGTTCTTTTTATCATTCTATAGACTCTATAATCCAGAGAGTGGATAATTGAATGTGCTACAAATTGTAATTTGGCCTTGGGGTTTAAATAATGCGAGAGCAAATCTTAAGCAGTTTATATATTCATTCAGACTCCAAATATGCTACAGGTTTGAATAAGCTTATGATATTATTATTTTTCAAATGGGGAGTTTTTTCTTTAGATTTGTTTTATTATTAGTTGTTGAATGCTAGTGTTGAACTACGATTATATGGTAGGAAGGGACTAACGAGTCTAGTGTTTTAAGCGCTCTGGGAGGTCTCCTGACGTAGTGAGTTACCTCTAGTCACCCAGTTGTTATTGTTTTACTGGACAGTAGTTTGTGGTCATACAATTGTGACTTCAAGAATATTGCTGAAAGTTGGTACTATTATATAATCTTGCTTTATAGATCATATAAAGACGTCTCAACAACATGATAAGGTGCTATGTGCAAGGATTATTATATATATTTTTCTTCAGTTAAAATGACACTGTTTATTATTCCCCACATGTGTTTCTTTTTCTCTCTGGGTCGAGAAACTATTTCTCAGAAGAGCAAAGATCCGGTTACAATTTTGCTCTCATCCATTCAAAGTGTTAAGCAGTTATATTGGAGTTCATGTCTTGGACAGTGAACATTATCAAGCTATTCTTCTGATGGAGGAGAAGTGCATCAGAGCTGGTCCTGTCCTTTGTATGCACAGTTTAACTATCTGAGATAAGTTACTGATTAGGTTGGCCACTTGAGTGGAGGACTGTTGGCATCCATAGAACCATACGCAATCAGCGCCCTCG